CAGGGGACTGCAGCGGGCGTCGGGGACGGTCGCTCCCTCCGCTGCCCCTCGCGGTCACTGCGCTGGGCCCGCTGGCGCGTTTGCACCGAGGCCGCCCCCGCCCCAGGCCCAGCCCTTTTTACTGCTGGCACCGCCTGGCGGTCTCCTCGGGGTTCGTGGCGCCCTTGCCCTTTGCAGTTAAACGGGAGGCTCTGCCATTTATGATCGTTAGAGAGCCCGGGAGGCCGGGGGCGGGTCCGCGGGGTCCCCCCTTTTCATCTGCGCTCGGTCATCTCAGCTCCCGCCGCTTCCGCCGCTGCAGGTAAATGGCTCCTTTCCGGGGGCGCGACCAGAGGAAGGTCGGCCGCGGGCCCTCCCGCCCGTCTGGTCCCTGCGGGGCCTCCCGGAGATGGGCCCTGTGGGACCCCGCGCGGTGCTGAGCCCGGCCCGCAAGCGGCCCTGCAGGGGTGCGCCCAGGGCACTGCTCTCAGGAAGGTTCCCATCCCGGGGTCGGGTCACCCGCACGTGAGGGGCGAGCGGGGGCAGGAGGGTCCGAGCCCAATGGGGGCTGGGTTGGTGTTTGGGCTGGAAGCCGAGCTGCCCCAGGAGGAGCCCAGTGGGTGCTGGCCCGCTCCCCCACTTCCAGGCAGGTCGGTCACCCCGCCACCCGCCACCCGGCGCTCGGCCTCGGGGGGCTCAGACGCCGCTCAGAGAAAGGGCAAGGGGTGTGTGCGTTACTCTTAGGCTCAGTGTCCGCAGCTTCGAGTCCAGAGCCTGGCTGGCTGGATTCAGGGGCTGGCCTCATGTTGGCCGTTGGCCTAGCCACGGGTGGATGGACTCATTCATCTGGCTTCTGTGCTGTCCTCATTGTCTTGGGGACATGCCTGGTCCTTCTGTGTGTTGACAACCAGGACACAGACCTCACTGCCAGCCTCCCTCGCAGCCTATAGAACCCGCCGAGTGGATGTGGGCCCAGGGATTGCTCCTTTGTCTAGTCCTCTCCGTCTTCGCCATGCCCAGCATAGTGTCACCATAAGTAGGGACAGTGCACACAGTGGAACCTCAGGTCTCGAACGTAATCTGTCTGGGAAGGCTGTTTGAGAAGTGATTTGTTAGAAAACTGTGTCGTTTTTCCCCCATTAGAAATAATGTTAATTGAATTAATTCGCTCCAGGCCCCCAAATTCAAAAAGTCATGAAAATATTCGCAGCACAGTTTCCTGAGATGGTAACAACATGAGGTTCTCTCCTTTGTGCCTGAGAGATGGGTGCCCCATCATACAGGGATCAGCATGAAATGGTAGTCAGGTCAAGAACCGAGACATTTTTTCTGTGAACAACTCGGTCGAGAACCGAATTGTTGGCAGTGGGAGACATTGGAGAACCGAGGTCTGACTGTTTCTGAGGCAGTGTCACCTTTCACTTCTGTGGAGCGGGGGTGGTAAGTTGGCCCTGACCTAGGTAGCACACAGTGGAGACTTTTCCAAGGAGACCTGCTCTGACCTCGCACCCCTCCTGGGTTGTGGGGAGGGAGGTGGGGTGGGCCTGGAGGAGCTGGGCGGGGCACCAGGAGACTCCCACAGCCCTGGGGGGGGTGGCGGCAGTGGCAGCATGGAGGCCTGCGGGGACACCCTCTACCTTTTCCCTTGGACGTGGCTGTCACTGTCCCGCCTCCACGCACAGGGCTCTGCCTCCCCTCCGCCCAGACAGCTCCCCAGCACCCTTGCCTCGTCACACAGGCTTCCAGCCCCCGCGCAGGGGACACATGCGGCAAGAGGAGTTTAGTGGCCCAAGCTGTGCTGAGACTGCAGAGTGTGCTGTCAGTGAGGCAGGAGAAGGGGCTTTTTCACAAGTTCAGAGCAGAGCTGAGTGCTGCTCTGCTGGGCTGGCCAGCACATCTGGGCATGTGGCCTCTACGCAGTGGTTACGGGAGTGAAGGAGGGTGGCACTGGGGTCGTGTTTTAAGGTGTCACCACTGTTATGTTTCTTCAGTGGGCCAGTCCCCCCAGAGAGGAAATGGGCATGTTCTCCTTTTCTAGTCGAATCCCCTTGCACTGACTACTGGATCCCTGGGGCTCTCCCAGGCCTCTCCTTCTCGAGTGCAGCGCAGCTTGCACTGCGCTGAGCTGTGGGCCCTGATGACGCACTGAGGTGGGGCTGTGGCACCCAGAGTTACGGGGATGCACACTGTCCCCGGGCGACAGCGTTCAGCCTCCCTCGGGCTCTGTCCAGATCTGCGGACCTACCTCTGGGTCCCTCTCTGAGTGTTCCTAAGAGCAAGGCCGTGCTCAGGTGGTGAAGGGACAGTGGGTTGTGTGCCCTGGGGGACGTGTGGTAGAGATGACACCCAGCCCTCCCTGCCGTTAGCAGTCACTGTGTGTGTAGGCATTCAACCCCAAAACAAATTAGAGATATAGCCAGAGGGATACATTTGGGCATAAAATCCCAGGCAGGCAGGTGGGTGGGTGGGAGGGAATG